CGCACAAACACGCAGCTTCTTGCGCAACCGTCGTTATACAACAACAGTCAGCAGATTCTGGTAGTTTGAGCTACCGCATGGATTACCGTCAAGCAAAAAGCACGATTTCTAGCTGCGTGATCTGGGTTTTTGGGGGGGTGGGGGGGGGGGGGGGGGGGTGGATGTGGGATGGGGAATGGGGGGTGGGGGGTGGTGGGGGTGGGAGAGGGGGCGGGTAATTACGTTCCTGCCAATGTTTCACCATGCCCGCAAGCGGGTTTAGGACTCTAGCTTTCGGCTTTAGGCTTTGCAGTTAAAGTTTGGTGCTTGAGCTTTGGGGTTTGTGCTTTGAGACTTTAGGGTTTAGGGCTTGAAGACTTTAGGGTTTAGGGTTTAGGGCTTTAAGACTTTAGGGTTTAGGGGTTTTCGCTTTGGGATATAGGCTTTAAGACTTTAGGCTTTAGGGCTTTAACACTTTTGGGTTTAGGGCTTTCGCTTCGGGGTTTCGGCTTTAAGACTTTAGGGTTTAGGGCTTTAGATTTGGGGTTTAGCCATATAAGACTTTAGGGTTTACGCTTTACCCTTTGAGACATTACTTTTGGGGTTTAGCCTTTAAGACTTTAGCTGTGCGGCTAAGGCTCTTGGACTTTAGCTTCGGATATAGATATCGCCAAACATCCCACCCAGACATCCAAGAATCCTAAATCTGCCCAAGAATCCATAAAATTCCGCGTTTTTTGAAAATGCCTACTTTCGCCCCGAAAACACGGAAGCACTGTAAATACCAGCATTTTCGCTCCCCTCGACCTCATTTTGCCCAATGCGAGATGTGACGCCCGTGAATTTGCAAAAACTCAATGTTTTTTACAATTCCCTAAAAACGGAGCATATTTCGGGAGGCTCGGAGGCCATGTAAAATATGCAACAAAACATGGGAAAGCGCATTTTCCGAACAAGAACGTAGTTTAAACATAGCGAAATATGCTAAACGGAACGGTGCATCAAGCAACCTATGTTACCTTGCTTGCTGATCAAGAATACACACTAACACCTTGCGCATATGCATGTACAGTATACATAATGGAACTGTAGAACAGAACTGTGCAGACAACCCAAAACTCACGACAGCATATCATGCATACAACTGCGATGGCGAGATATTTATGCATGACCTGAACCAAGTCTGCATATAGCCCATGCCACCAAAAGGAAACAGAGTAGATTGATAAACGTATAGGATTAACAAACACGTCTCAAAAAACAACATCACCACCTGCACCAACTGACGATGCAATCTCTAAGCATCTTAGAAAATTGGATGTGTACTCCTATACTATCAGGGTGGGCGGGTGGGGAGGCCCCAGGCACAACAAAAAGGGCATTCGTTTACACAGAAACCAAATCCCAAATGAACACGACCAGGGAACATGCTTTTTTCTCAGCAAGTTCCCTCCCTGCCAGGGGAATCCCCCCCCAAAGCCGGCAAGATTCCATAGTCGTCTATCAGGATTGCCGGACCCAAAGGGGTTCAGGATGGTTCCCAGGACTTCTTATCCCTTAAAGCCCTAAACCCGAAAATATTTCTTTCTCCCCAAGCCTAAACCCTAAAAGAGTTCCAATTTCTCCCCCACTCTAAACCCTAAAATATGTCAAAACCTCTCCCCGAGCTAGAGTCTCGCAGGCTGGGAGGTGCCTCGGACTCCGGAGCTCTCGCGGTCTTTTTCTCGCAGCCGAGCAGACCGACCGGTGCGAGGTGTGAGGCCTTTGGCCTGCAAAGGGCTTTGAAGGTGCCCCCTTCGGTTTTTGAGACCTTCGGCCTGCAAAGGGTCTTGAAGGTACCCTTCGGTTGTAGCCGCCAACAGCGGGCGCTCACACACCTCTTGAAAATTTTGCTCAACTTGCATTTTACATTATGTTACCCAGGGCGCTCTAGGTCTTTGGGTCAGGCAACACCACCACCCGGAAAGTCTGCCAGGTCCAGTGGGCGTTCAGGTCCTGGGGGGCTTCAACAAGCTCTGATGTTTCCCACTCTTAGGTCCCCAAGTTCCGGCAAATAATAATAGTTATTATATGGCAACCAATGATGATGAATTATATTTTAGATGCAAATCTGATAAACTTGCCAACCCCATCTTGACAACCTGCCGTCCATGCTGTCCTGGGCGGATACGTGATGACTCGCCGTGACCGTCTGGTCATGCATTTGGACCACACCTGTCACAAAGGCAAGGTTTACCGGGTACAGGCTCATGACTCCAGTCTTTCTTTGTCACGGGCTTGAAAATAAAACCTCAACCCTAAAACCTAAGCCTAGAGGAAGAACAAGCGGGAGACGAGGCGCGACGATGATCCGGATGCCACAGTGCGATGTCGTTGTGCGGTGGATAGATCGGAACGGGTACGAAGCCCTCGGAGCCCCAACCGCTGGGGAGCTCGCTGCTGCCCTTGGAAGCTATGAACCCTAAACCCTAAACCCTCAACCCGAAACCCTTAACCCTCACCCCGAATTATGACGGTTTTGACTGCTAGGCGATTTGGACTGCTAGGCGATTCTGACCGCCAGGCGATTGTGACTTCTACTTGCTAGTTGTACTTATCTTGCTATTTTTCCCGAATGCTCCGCAGAAAGGCTCCCGTTTGCAAGTTGGGGGTCTGGGGGTTGGGAGGTTACCAAACGTCGTTGCGTTGTGTTCGCGAAGCGTTCGCAAGCGTCTGCGCAGCGTTCGCGAGTGGCGTCACGCGCGCTGTTAAGCCGGCCTTCCGCGTGGCGTTCCACGGCATTCCGAATCCGTCAAGCTAAGGGGCAACTCCACAGAACGCGCGCCGCTGTGGCGTTCCACGTGGCGTTGCGGGGACACACGTCCTGTGGAGTTCCCCTTTAGCTTCACGGATTCGGAACGCCGCGGAACGCCACGTGGAACGCCGCGGGGACGCGTGGAGTTCCCCCTTAGCTTGACGGCTTCGGGCTTCGGAACGCCGCGGAACGCCACAGCGGCGCGCGTCCTGTGGAGTTGAGTTCCCCCTTAGCTTCACGGATTCGGAACGCCGCGGGGACGCGTGCCCGGAGTTCGCCCTTAGCTTGACGGATTCGGGAACGCCGCGGCGTTCCACGTTTCCGCGGCGTTCCGAATCCATCCAGCTCAGGGGGAACTCCACAGGGCACGCGTCCCCGCGGCGTTCCACGTGGCGTCGGCGTTCCGAATCCGTCAAGCTAAGGGGGATCTCCACAGGACGTCAAGCTAAGGAGGAAATTGACGGGTACATGTAGGGGAAACTCCACAGGACGCGTGTTCTCGCGGGGTTCCGAGTCGCTAAGGGGATCCCGAAGCTCCGTCAAGCTAAGGGGAAGCTCTACAGGACGCGTGTCTCCGCGGCGTTCCGATTCCGTCAAGCTAAGGGGAAACTCCAGAGGACGCGTGTCCTCGCGGCGTTCCCAGTCCGTCAAGCTAAGGGGAAGCTTCATAGGGCGCGTGTTCCCGCGCGGCGTTCCGAACGCGTCAGGCATTCCGAATCCCCACGGCGGAAACTCCAAAGGCGCATGTCCCCGCGGCGCTTCGAAGCCGTCAAGCTAAGGGGAAACACGCGTGCGCTCGCGGCGTTTCGAATCCCTCAAGCTAAGGGGGAACTCCAAAGGCTTCACGGATTCGGTGAAGCTACGGGGGGAAGGAACTCCATAGTACGCGTGTACCCCCAACGTTCTGAATCCGATGCTGCTGCAGCGGTCATGAGCCTTAGTCTGTTCTGCTACGCTTCTTTTCAGGACTGTGCTGGAGTAGAGCACGCTCCGTCACCTTGTAGACCTTTCTTCCTATTTTCATGTCTGTGTTTGCCTTGTCGGCCTTAGCTTCTCGAATTGGAGCAAGAACTCTTTGGCCGGAGTCTGTCTGAGCCTTAGCGTGTTTTCGAGACTGTGCTTCAGCAGAGCATGAACATTCACATATGATGTCGCTCCTTCCCGACACCTTGTGGACATTTGTTCATGTTTTCGTGTATGTCTTTGTCTTGTCGGCCTTAGCTTGTCGAATTGGCGCACGAACTCGTTGGCGAGAGTCTGTCTGAGCCTTAGCATGTTTTCGAGACTGTGCTTCCAATATGCTGTCGCTCATTCCCGACATGATTGCGCATGTGCAAATCTCGCAGCTGATTTTGGGTTCAGAAGTGGGTTGGCGACGTCAAGTTCATGGGCATGGCCTTATGCACATGTTTTCCGTGTAGCGGATGGCGAGGATGCGTTGGCACGGCGCACGCAGCGAGCAATGGCCTCGTAGCCGTGGCCTCAATGGGATCCTGGCTCGATCTTGCAATTGAATTTGCTGCTTTGCTGGAGTTGGAGGCCACTGCTCGCTGCATGCGCCGAGCCAACGCATCCTCGCCATCCGTTACACGGAAAATTGAGCTGCAGCGGTCTGAGCCTTATTATGCTCCGTTCCGCTTCTCATTCAGACCGTGCTTGAGCAGAGCATGATCAATCACCTTGCGAATGCCACGACGGCGCGACCTGTACATAGGAGATTGAACGCATGCCTTCGCCGAACCGTCAAAAGCCCTGTGCCTATGGTGAGTATAAGCTGTGCAGAGCGATGACACATGCCTCCGGCGCCATGCGCTGGCCGGTCAGACGCTTGTTGCCTTTTAGCAAGTTAAGAGAATGCGCACATCACAGCACATGACAGTTGACCGGTAAACACGTATGTATGTCGATGATTGCAACCGATCCAGTCTTGGTGGCCTAGGCTCCTAAATGGGGGATGACATGCATCACTTGCAGGATTATGCACGTTGCCTTGCAGTCTTGTATATCATGAACATGTGTTATCCATGCTGTCAGGCGAAGACCCTGCAACTTCATGCACAATGTTCCGATTGAACCGTGCGAGAAAAAACGCTCCTTTTCCGCCGGCGCACCGACGTTTCGTTTTTTTCGCGTTATATCTACGTTATCGGTGACTGCTTTCTGCATTCGGGTTCGTGGCTCCTATCAGGTTGACTTCTGGCACAGTCCCACATGCTGCCATGTCGGCCTATGGGACCCAGATCCCAGTTTTGCGGGGGCTCGGGCTTGTGGTATTGGGGAACAATGACTGCTGCATCCGAGCATCCGAAGGCGGATGCGGACTGCAAACCACTGTGTCACCGGTCATCTTCACGTAGCGCTTGTGGATATGGTTGTACAATGCAATCATGCCGTTGCCTGCATCCACCACTCTGAATCGCTCCCCCGTCCAGGCATCGGGAAGGGCGGCGTGGTGGGGGCTGCTGGCATCCATGTAGTGGCCGTTCATGCGCAGGAAGCGGTTGTGAGCAGCATTGTGCCTTGGCTCTTGTCACTCCGGGATTCCTGTACCCTAAGAGCATAAACCCAAGAAAGGCCCACTAACAGCCCTCTTGACATCCCTCTGAACCCTGTCCGGGATGCAGGGCCACCATCGTGCCAGGCTGAAGGTAGTTCTTCACAGGCACCATGTAGAAGCGCTCAAGGGTCCAATCTGCAGGCAGCGCGTGGGCATCTCGGTGGCTGCTGGCTCTGACGTGTCCACTCGTTTCCATGGTGATGTAGCGGTTGTTGGCTAAGTTGTGGAGTGCCACCATTCCATCTCCTGCATCGACGACCTCGAAGAACTCGGATTCCCAGTCATGTGCGAGGTGCTTGGCCGCCTGAAAATGCATCTCTCAAGTCAACCGGCTGTCTTGTTCTTACACAAAATTATAGGGCAGGAGCTTCCGGCCTGGATTGGGCTGACGGTCATCTGGTCCCCGGCCATCTTCACGAAGCGGTTGCTGAAGGCGTTGTGCAGCGCGACCTTCCCGTTGCCCGCGTCGACGACGGCGAAGCGCTCGAAGGTGTGGCCATAGGGAAAATCCGGTTTGATGTCCGTGACACCCGTGGCAGCCATGTCTCCGGTATGTTTGTTCCTTGGCTCAAAATGGGTGTTTGGGGTTTGAGGCTTCGGGGTTTTGGGATTTTGGGGTTCCGGGCTTTGGGATTTGGGGTTCGGCTTCCGCTGTGGTTGTTTGGAACCTCATGCATCCCAGGGTGCAGCTGTAGGTAACGCCTGGCCACGGGGCTGTACAAGGCGACCAAAGAGCTGAATGTGAAGAGCCGCTGGCTCTCCTTACTGGTGCTTAAGGGAGAGTGGAAGAGTGAATATAGGGACTATTATAAAGGGATTATGTAGGGACTACAAAAGGGTTTCACTCCTGCACTCTCCCTTAAGCACCAGTAAGTCTCGGGTAGAACTTGGCAATCCCCCAGCGGACGACCAAAGGTCGTCCAGTCGGTGCGGTGTCCGTTCCCCATATGTCGATGCCCGTCTGCGGTGAATATCCTAGGATGGCCCCTAAAAAACCCTCTGAAAAAATAATAATTCCTGAACAGGATCCTCTTCAACCCCAAAAAAAAAGAAGAAGGAAAAGGCGCAAGAGGTCCCAAGAGCTTGCCTAGGATCTCAGCGGTCTTGCCATCAAAGTGCGACACGGAGAAGTGCCAACCATCAACGGCTCCTACTCGGAAGCTGCCGATCTGCACGAAGCGATCCCCAAAGGAAACGCCTTTAGGCTTACCGGTGTACCTTGCTGGCCCCCAAAACCCAAGGAAGTAAAAGTTGTGAAACTTTCAGAATAGACTACCTTATAAGAAGCCCAGAAGTTGAAAAGTTGGGGGTTTGAGCCAGTAAGGTACTTGCGAGACCAGAGGTTGTAGTCGGTGAGGGGACCGCCAATCACATGGCCGTTTGCGCCGTAGACGTAGGAAGTCTTGCCATGAACATGAGAGACGGAGAGATGCCTGGAATCCGCTTCGCCGATCCGCCAGTACTTTCCGAACTGGATGAAACGATCTCCCAACTTCACTTCCCCGATCTCTCCATGGGCCACGTGCCTGGGCTCAATGCCCCAGCCGCTGAAGTCCGTGCGTGGTCCCGGGTAGTGATGCCCATCAGCAGTGAAGATCCTATCAGGGTGTTCTTTTTGAGACTCCACTGTGACAAGAGAAGCTGCGGGCGCCTCCTTGCGATCTTATCTCGACCTCACCATACCTCACCCCTTGCAGTGAGTGGTGTGCGCCCCTCTCTCTTTAATGATTGGCCAAGTCACCTGACTCACCTCACAGGTGCTCCTTCCGCAACTTACAAAACCCTCAATCCTAAACCCGACCCCTAAGCCCCAAACCCCAAACCCTAAACCCTTTAAACCCCAAAACCCCCAAACCCCAAAACCCCAAAACCCCAAAACCCCAAAACCCCAAAACCCCAAAACCCCAAAACCCCAAAACCCCAAAACCCTAAAATCCCAAAACCCCAAAACCCCAAACCCCACACCCTAAATGTTCAGCCCAAAGCTCATACACGTGTTGATGCTGCGGTGGGAGATGGTGAAGTGCCACGAGTCAAGCGCCGCCAGGCGCCAGTCCCCAAACTGGATGAACCCGGGGCCTGGTTTAGGGTTTAGGGTTTAGGGTTTAGGGTTTAGGGTCAAGGGTTTAGGGTTTAGGGTTTAGGGTTTAGGGTTTAGGGTTTAGGGCATAGGGTTTAAGGTTTAGGGTTTAGGGTTTAGGTCAAGGGTTTAGGGTTTAGGGTTTAGGGTTTAGGGTTTAGGGCATAGGGCTTAGGGTTTAGGGTTCAGGGTTTAGGGTTTAGGGTTTAGGGTTGGAGCCGGGGGCTGGTCATTGGGAAGCCGTGCCGCGTTCAAACGCGGCTTGGCGGTGCTCCTTCCTTCGCCGTGTCTAGACTCACCCTAAACCCTAAACCCTAAACCCTAAACCCTAAACCCTAAACCCTAAACCCTAAACCCTAAACCCTAAACCCTAAACCCTAAACCCTAAACCCTAAACCGTCAAGGCTTTCTGCTAAAGGCAAAGACCCCTCCCCTCTCCGGGGCCATCACCTGTGGTGATTCCTGAGCAAGATCCGAGGATGCTCCTTGGTTCCATATCAACCCAGAAGTGGTTTGGTGGCGTTTTGGGGTTTAGGGTTTCGGGGGTTGGGGTTTGGGTTTGGGGTTGAGGGCCCCAATGAGCTGCAAGCGTCTGGATGGCACCACAGTGCCACTGTGTGGGTCGGTGGACCAAATGGGTGGTCCCAACAATCGTCGGGCGTCCCAGGACCGTGCCATCGGATTTGTACGCCTGGGCTGCAGAGGGGCGAAACAAGAAAGTGTTGCACATGAAAGCCGAGAAACTTGAATAGCCTGGCTGGCGCCATTCGCGGGGTTGGTGTGGGTCAGCAGTAAATGCTGATCGTCCCCAACCCCGATGCGGAAGTTGCCAATTTGCAAGAACCGATCCCCATAGCCCAATCCGGCGGGACCAGCATCGCGTCCCCACCGGGTTCCTTGCCACGCATTCCACGTGCCCTTCGGCACTGAATGAATGGTGCCATCACTCCCTCGGAAAAGCTGTGGGGTGTGCCCATTCCTTCACTGAACTTGAAAACCCTTGCAAAAAATTTCTTTTTTAGCTGTTTCTTAGGAATTGTAGTGCCCCAAAGTTAAGCAGCACCAGTAATTAGGAATTGTTCCCACGTATCTCTAAGATTCTGATGGGAGATGCTCATGTGATCGTGGTCCAGCGCTCCCAAGCGGAAGTTGCCGATCTGGATGAACTCGCTCCCAAAGGTGATGCCGGAGGGAATGCCGATGGGCCTACGGAAGTCACAAAACCGAATTCTCCTATCTGTATATAAATATAAATATAAATACAAATGTAAATATAGTTAATCTCTGAAACTAAGCATTGTTTAAGAATATGCCTACTCAATACATTTGGGTAGTAGATGCATGTGTGTCCAGCTTTGATATCGTTGAGTTGTACATCTATAGTTTTAGCTTAAAACACTGACCTACGTAAAACTCCAGCCTGCAGTGCGACGTTTTATGTAAACATATAAATATAAATAAATAAATAAATAAATATATATATATATATATACAGTGTGCGTGTGCACCGCGATGCTTGGGAATCAATCAGAGCAGCGTCACGTGGGTTGAACACGCCATGTCTGCTTTACTCAGATTCCGGCCAGAGGTTCTTCGTGATCATGGGGGGAAGTATTGTCATGCCAAATCTAGCACAAACTTCTCAGAAGGCCAACCCTAAACCCTAAACCCTAAACCCTAACTCCGGGCCCAGCTGTGCAGGCTTCAGCCCAGCCCTGAAAGCCCTTGTCCCTCCTGCGCCAGGCACTGTCACTCCAGCGTCCGGAGTAGCGGAGGCCTTCACCAGAAGGTGCAGCGCGAACCCCATCACACACACACACACACACACACACACACACAAGAATAAAAAAAAACTCATCCAAAAAGCACAAGCGCACTCAAAAACAAACACAAGCAGCCACTGCTGTTGTGGATTGGGGCATTGCTGCCTACACCCTAGACTCCAAACCTAAACCCTAAGCGCTAAACCCTAAGCCCTAAACCAAGCAGCCATTGCTCTTGTAGATTTGGGCGTTGTTGCCGTTCTTGTGGGAGATGCTGAAGTGGTCCGCATCGAGAGCGGCCAAGCGCCAGTCGCCAAGCTGCACGAAGCGGTCTCCCCAGGATCCGAAGTTCGGATTGCAGACTCCATGGGCCACCTCACCAGGGCATACATACATACATGCATCCATCCATGCATGCATGCATATACATACATACGTACATACATACACGGGTGTAGGGTTTAGAGTTTAGGGATTCAGGGTTTAGGGTTTTTTGGTTTAGGGTTTAGGGCTTAGGGTTTAGGGTTTAGGGTTTAGGGTTTAGGGTTTAGGGTTTAGGGATACATATTATATATATATATGTATGTGTTTGCACTTATCGAATATCAGTCTTCATACTCACATACTCATAGTTCATAGAAGCTGCTCACCTTCAGGTTCATGTTAATAAACATATTGTTCACACACTCAAAGTCAAAACAACTATACATCTATATGTATATCTATATATATATATATACTAAGAAGAGGAGTAACCTGCTCTGCAGATACATATGAGTCACACCTCCGCAATGCTCTTGCAGGTCCATGGGGCCACGGGACGGTTCAACACGTAGTTAAAACCCTGGTTGTTGTCGGCGACTTGGCCGGCACTCGTGAAGACCTGAAGCGCCCGCTTCTGCCCGTTATGCGTCCAAATCAAGGGCAGGTTCGAGCCATCCGCGTCGCCAAGGCGGAAGTTGCCTATCTGCAGGAACCTGGATTAAGTGGAAGCGGCGTTGGCTCACAAACGACATGCCGGAGAGGGTCGGGGCGATAAAAAAAGGCATGCACAGTGATCACAGCCTCTCCCCTCAACCTCCAACTGCGGGTATACTTCCTTGGAGGAGCGATGAGCCAGAAATGTCACGCCCACCCGAGGAAATTCGACTGACCCCTTGTGTCTGGATAAACACTCCTAAACCCTAAACCCTAAACCCTAAAGCCTACTTGGCACCCCACAACAAATGACCCAATCACCCTGTGGACATGCGGTGATCCCGGGAACGGCTTCCCCAGTCTTAGAAGTCTACACTTGGTCTACATAATATCATTCTATCATCTTTGTGTTCTTATATTCTCTGTATCAGGATTTGACATATGTTATCATTGTTATTACAATGTATTTTCATGTATTCATGCTACTCACTCACTACAGACTTTTTATCGACATAAATGTATTTATCTACAGAGAGTCCTTCAACTCGGAGGGGCTTATCTCCGACGGTGATACCCATGGGAGGACCTTCGTAACGGTCCAAGACGTTATAGTCCTTGTCGCCGCACAAGCAACACTCAAGTTGCCCCGCAGAAGCTTCATTCAGGGTGGGCATGGCTTTAGGCTGGTCTTCGGGAATCTACGCTGCGTGGCAGTTCAACTCGCGCAGCTGCAAACCGGCCAAGGATCAGTGCGGTCCGACATCCTGGAACCATCGTTCTTGTACACAGCACTCTTCCCGGAGCGGATGTGCCTCAGCTGAGAGCGTCTTGTCTTGGTTCGACGGCGTGCTTCTCACCACGTGTTTTCCGAGCATCTCGCGCCACGTGCAAATACAAAAGAGCTTGCATGCACGCCCGAAACAGAACATCCGTGAAAACCCCCAAAGAGCTGCTTTTTCCGTCCATTTGGGTGGCGTCTGACTTTTGTGCAGCTGAGCCTTCAACTGCTTTGTCTCAGGCCTTTTAGGCACCACATTTCCCGGTATGCTAACGAAATATCCCGGCCTAGAGCTTGAGGTGCATTGTGAGGACCCTGAAGTAGGTCGCCCTTTTGGGCAGTAAGGAATGTCAGATTTCCCGAGCTCCTTGCCCGAAAGCTCCTAGGACTCCTGCAACGAATCCGAGCCTCCCCTGAAAAATCCCAGAGCCCAATTAGTCCTCCCAGTGCCCGTGAAGTTGCTCGGTTAAAGGCTCGAGGTTGGGGGTGTTCGAAGTGGACACTTTCTTGCGCGGATGTCCGCACAAGAAACAGCCACACCCTTACGAAAGCTTTGGACTTTGGACAGAGGCAAAGCTGGCTAGTAGTAGTAGTAGTAGTAGTAGTAGTAGTAGTAGTAGTAGTAGTAGTAGCAGTAGCAGTAGCAGTAGCAGTAGCAGTAGCAGTAGCAGTAGCAGTAGTAGTAGTAGTAGTAGTAGTAGTAGTAGTAGTAGTAGTAGTAGTAGTAGTAGTAGTAGTAGTAGTAGTAGTAGTAGTAGTACAAATGTGTCAGCCCGGGCCACGAAACGGAGAAGTGGTTGTCGTCGACTGCGCCGATGCGGAAGTTGCCAATCTGGACGAACTGGAACCCAAACTTGATCTGCTTGGCTTGCCCGATCGGCCTCAGCTTCTCCCAAAAAAAGGCCCCAAACAAGGGCACCGAGGACACAGAGAGAGCATCTGAGTGCTGCTCCTGCCCCAGGCATGCCAATAAATCTCCCAGCCGCTTCTGTGGTTACGGTGGATCGACCCATCAGAACCCCTCCACAAGGTGGGCACTTTCTTGTCCTCAGGGTTCAGAGGGCCATTCTGGGAGCCCAATCCTACTGGATTTTCCGGATGTGAGAGACACGAAGGGTTTAGGGTTTAGGGTTCAGGGTTCAGGGTTTAGGGTTTAGGGTTTGGGGTTGAGGGTTTGGGGTTTAGGGTTTAGGGTAGGCCCAGTCGTGTCTCCTGGTGCGAGATCGTGAAGTGGTCCGAGTCGATTTCGGCAAGGCGCCACTTGCCAATCTGTATGAAGCGATCTCCCATGGGAAGGTCGAAGCATGTTTGCGAGCCCCTTACTGTTGGTGAGTAGGGGAATTTCGGGAATACCCTATATCCCCCTACCCTATGTCCCCCCTATAAATACCCCCTATATGTATATACCCTTTAAGGGATTCTATGGGGCACCTCGGGCCCTTCACTGCCTGCTAAACCACAGTAAGGCTCGGAGTGTTTCGAGGGGTGTTCGTCACCATTGCTGGTGGCACAACCTCGACCTCCGACTCGTCTGGGCGTCCCTGGCCAGCAGTCTTACAGCCGAGCTCGGATGCACAAGGAGCTTCCTGGAAGTTCGGTGTCGTCCACACCTCCTCACAGAAGTGCTTCTG